ATTACTTATGTACGAGAAAAGTGTCATATTAAAAAAAAACTACTTCTGAGATATTCCCATTTTAGTTTCACGTCGGTTTCTTAATTTCAACTTGTAGCCCCATACAATTACAGTCTTCTATAACCTGTACTTATATTGACTGTAAATTATCCAATATTTTTCTAGTTCTGGTCAAAAGTGGCACTTTTTATTAAAAAAAATTGGAAGGTTTTGTAGAAATAAGACACTATGACAAATTTGAAAATGTTATTTTATTGTAACATTAGCTACAATCCCTCATAAAAGGGCCTATAGTAAGATCGAATGATATTTTTTTCGAATAGAGACATAAGCCCAGTCTTCTTTTTCATTTATTTTTGGTTTTTAGGGATATGCTGGTAATATCACTTTGACTTTGCTTTTTCGTTTTATTGGTATAGAGGAATACTCGAATCCAAATGAATCTGCACATTCTACTTTTTCAGTTGTTAAATGAATAATGCGCAAGTCTCGAATTTTGATAATCCTTTGTGGAATCACATCAGCCAATGACTTTTGTCATTTGTGATGCTTTTCGAAACAGCTTTACTTTCTTTTCAATGAGTGAATGGGCTAAATCTCCTTCATTTTGGGTATGGCCTTTTATGAGAAATTTATGGGTTATAGACTTTAAATACGGTAAGGTATCCACCGCATATTAATATAAGTTAAACATTGGATAGTTTTTATGTTGCCCACAACAATTGTCTGTGTAAAATATGACATCAAGTTGTTGACCTTTTGCATTTAAACTTTGTAGATAATTATAAGAGCATGTCCCAATTGCATTTACTCCACGTTGGCCTTTCCCTTCATGCCACAGGAAGTAGCTTACTCTACCTTTACGTAATATACTGTGAAGTTGTACATACAGATCTTTGACACGTAATAAAATCCTGATGCATCGCCCTGTGGGCATGGAAGTACTGCTTGTAAGTCATAAACAGCTACATGCACATTTTCGCCACTTTTTCTATCAATCTCCATTTCTGTTTGTACTAAATAATTTTCGAGTTCAAATCCTGCTTTGAACACAATCCCTAAATCGCAACCCCTAAAATCGCAACCCCCGGTCGTAAGTTCCAAACGGCTTAACGTAGGATGGCGTACGAGGGCTCGTTGGAAAGGGGATAAAAAATGGGGTTGAACGGTATACTGATATTTTTCTACTTGTTCTATCACGTTACCATTGATTGTCAATAGGTGATGTATATTTTGTGGTCTTTTTGTAATTAACATGTACTTCGTTTTTTAGCGTTTATAGTAATTCCCATCTCAGCACTATTCATACTCAAGCTTTCGATAAGATGTTGTAGATCCTCTATACTCGTTGCTATGGTCACAGTGTCGTAAGTTGTTAATTAATTTTCCGTTAACGGTGACTCCCGCTTCGATATTATTGAGCGTGTTTTGGAAAATTTCTTCAAAATATAAGTTAAACAAAAGTGGCGATAAAACACATCCCTGTCTAACTCCTCTACAGATCCTCATTTCTTCTGAGTGTTGCCCATCAATTTAAACTATGGCACTTTGGTTCCAATATAATGTTTGCACTATATTTATGATTTTACTGTCAATGCGCTTGTTTATAAGTAATGATATTAGTTTTTCATGTCTTACTTTATCGAAAGCTTTTTCGTAGTCAACGAAGCACAAGTGTAGGTCAACTTTTACATCACGACATCGCTGATTCAATATGTTGATGGTAAATAGTCCTTCTCGAGTACCCATTCCATTTCGGAACCCGAACTGCTTCTCGCTAATATCCTCCTCTTTCCCTCCTTTCGTATATTTTCTTATGTATTACTTTCAGCAGTACTTTTAAAGTATAACTCATGAGGCTCAGTGTTCGATAATCAGAGCACTCTTTTGCAGCTTGTTTTTTAGGGATGGTTATAAATGCTGACTTCAGCCACTCTTGTGGTATTATTCCCGGATTGTACACCGTGTTCAATAAATCTGTCAATACTTCCAAGTTATCCTCTTCCACTAGTTTTAACAGTTCTACTGATATTTCATCTAATCCAGCTGCCTTATTGTCTTTAGAGTTTTTGATAGCATATTTGATTTCATCTATCGTGATCTTCTGTCTCTCTAAAGGATTTAATTCTTGTATTTTTGCATTTCACCTCTTTCATCTTGGAAAAGTTCTCTAACGTACTCCTCCCATCGTCTTAACTTCTCTGGTAAATCTATTGTCTTTTGTGTGTCCTTGCTGTCTATTTCGACCCATTCCAGTCACTTCTCTAATTTTTTATGCATATTTCTCATATCATATTTTGTTTCTAGTTCTTCTATCTCTTTACATTGTTTCATCAAATAGATTTCCTTAGCTGTTTTGATTTTTTCCTTAATTTTTCCTTGTATTTTTTTATACTTCTGTAGATCTTTTCTTGTATATTTCCTTCTTTCTTCCATCAGTAATAGTATTTCTTCTGTCATCCAGTGTTTTTTAGCCTCTGACCTATGTTGTATCAAACTTTCTTGAGCTGGTTTCAGTAATGTGTTTTTTATATTTCATACCACTTTTTATTTACATTTATAATTTGTTTGTTATCAATTAGTGTTTTTGCATATTAACATTCACATTATTTTTTAATTCGTTTTTTATTTCTTCGTTTTGTAGCATTCTTATGTTAATTTTTGGTTGTTGTTTTCTGAGTTCAATGCTTTTTAATTTTATTTTCACGTCAGCCACTAACGGATTGCGAACTGAGGTTATAGATGTTTATATCTGCTATTTACGAGTATAAAGTCTATCTGGTTTCTGACAATGTGGTTTTCTGTATGTGAAGGAGACGTCCATGTATATAGTCTTCTTTTAGGAAGCTGAAACCAAGTATTGACAATTACCATATTCTTTTCTTGGCATATTTCTATGAGCCTTTCTCTTCTCTCGTTTCTAGGTCCTAGTCCGAACTGTCCAACTATATTTTCAACTGTGCCTACTCCAATTTTTGCATTAAAGTCTCCTAAAATGTAAGTAATATCTCTAGATTTTGTTACCTTGATTGTATTGTGCAATTCTGAATAAAACTTTTCGATCTCATCTTCGGTCTTATCAGCTGTGGGAGCATAGACTTGGATCATATTAATATTACAGTTCCGTGCTTGAATTTTTAGCATTATTATTCTTTCTGATATTTGAATCACACCTAGTACTGATTTTCTAATAGTGTTGCTTATGATGAAAGCTACTCCGTATCGATGATCAGTTTTGTCTCCTCCAGTGTAATAAATATGGTGGTTATTTATTGATATCTCTCCATTTCCTGATCATTGTACATCGCTAACCCCAAGTATAGCTATATTTAGCCTCTCTTTCTCTTTAATAGCATTGTGTAGTTTTCCAGGGATACATACTTCTTACATTCCCGGTAGCTATTTTTATCTGAAAGGGTTGGGTATTTTTTTGTGGTATTTTGTGCACGGGTTTCGCATGTTGACGACCGAGGAAGCCTAGCGTTCTGATGACGACCGAGGAAGCCTAGCGTTCTGATGGTTGTCTTCCCTTGCCGGATTTTGGTCTCCGATTACCATAATCAATAATGTTTCTTGCGCAAATAGTGCTGGCCATTATAATTTATACTAGAGATGAAAATGTGAAACTGTCAAACCGTCATACTGTGAAACTATACAGAGCTTCAATTGTTCCGAAGCCGTTACGAAAGCCAAACTCTCTGTTACTCATATCTGCTTTGCACTTTCTGAATATTCTTGCATGTATAATCTTTAAAAATGTTTTTAATAAGTGTGACATTAAGCTGATTAATCTATAGTCATTACAGTGTTTGGAGTTTTTGGTTTTTGGTAGCGGATAACAAAGGTCGATAACAGCCATTCTGTAGGTATCTCACCAGATTTGTATATGTTGTTAAAGAGTATAGTTATTACACTTAAATTGTCTTCGTCAATAAGTTTCATCAGCTCGATATGAACTTCATCTGGCTCAGGAGCCCTGCCAGATTTTGAGTTGTTTATAGCATGTCGGACTTCAGATTTTAATATTATTCGAGCTTCCTCGTTATAAATTTGTGTTGGTTCTTTTCTTGTATCTATGAAAAGATTTTCAAGATACTTAGTCCATACTTGTTTTATTTCATTTCGGTTATTAATACGTTTATTGTTTTTGTCAATTAATCGGTTAGGTGTATTTGTTCGTGATTTTTCAGATAATTCGTTCACTTTTTTATGTAAATTATAAAGATTATGCTTTTTCTGCAATTCTTCCACTTCGATACATGTTTCCATCATTCACTTTTCCTTAGCCTCTTTTATTTTATTCCTTATTAACTTATCTTTTTCTCTAAACTTATTTGGGTTTGTGTTTCTATATTTTCCTCTTTGTTCCATTATTTCCAGTATTTCTTGAGGCATTCAAGGTTTTCGGCTTTCTGTTTTCTTTTGTACAGTTTCTTTCTGTGTTTTTATAACGAAATCTTTGATTTTGCTCCACGTAATGTTCACATTTTCAGTGTTTTTCATTTCTCATGTTAATTTCTTCATTCAGAATGCTATTCATGCTACGTGCCAAACTACATCAGTTTCTTAACTTCTTTTTATACGAGTAATTATTATTATTATTAATTTCTGCATATTTTGATGCAAATTAAATGTAAAAGAATGAAACGAGTGCCATAACACGCTTCATCTTGCGTGAAGTTACATCTTGCTATAGTCATTCACGTAAACCGTCGATGTTTTCTGATTAGATGACAATGTTCACAAAATTCCTTCTGAGGTGAAGACTATGACCAGGATTAAGTCAGAAAGTCAACAGAATATGACGGACCAGGAAGCTGTGGTGTTGCCATATCTCAAAATTGAAGTAGCAGAACTAGTATTTAAAAAATGGTTTCTTCCTAGTTAATTTTCTAGTTACCTTCATGCTATGATCGAGGAGAAATCTTAATGAATTGTTTTTTTTGTTTACCTAAGGTGTATCTAAAATAGGTTTTTAATTAAACGTGTTTCTGCTTTAGGTGCCGACAGTCCAGACATGCAGACCGCAGCTGAAACCTTCGCCAAACAAAACCAGTGCACGTTGAAAAAGAACAAGAAAAATCACGTTACTGAAGCTGATGAGTATGTCACCATAACGAGTCCCATGACAGAAAGGAAGTACGCCACGCTGGAGCCAAATATGACCATGACATCAACTTTTAAGCCTACTGGAGAATCGAAACCGATGGTGCTCAAAAAACCCGTATTTTCGATGCCACTGAGGTCGGTGTCCATCGAAATGATATGCAAAGACCCACCCGATCTTCCAACATAGTTCTATATATTTTTTAAAGAGCGGTATTTGTTAATTACATTTTTTTTATGCACGATTTTTGTGATTTTTTTATTGGGTGCTTACTACCTAGTGAGTTATTTTTAAGGGGAAATGTTTGCTTAAGATCGTTTTTATTCTTTTATTTATTTTCAAAACATTTTGGTATAATGGTAAATGAAATTGAAGGTAATTGTTAGACTGCCATTTCGAATAGAGTCCTAAACAAAGTCTGAAGATGTAATTTTTTTAAATAAGTAAAGTAATTGAGGCGTTTATTTTAGAAACAACATAAGTCCAAAATTTTGATTTTGTAGAAAATGAAAAAACGCTCTCGAGTTTATTACCATATTTCGAAAAACTATTAAATTGTACAGTGGCGAATATAAGTTAAATAAAGGTTTTCTGACTACAGAATCTCATGATATTAATAAAAAAATACAAAAATCTTGGACTTATGTTGTTTTTAAAAGAAAGAAAAGTTTTTATGGAATTTTAAGTTACAAAAAATAATTAGGATTCATCACAACCACTACTGTTGTAATCTTCATCGATTTCTAAGGCATCATTGCTCTGCAGATTTTGTCGTGTAAAAATGCCTTCATAAAAGCTTCGATTTTTTGCATTTCCTAAATACAGTAAGAGATCCCTTAAATTTTTCAGTTTCGCAGATGAAATTGGCACAGCTTGCAAAGAACTTGGTGTGAGTTTTATTAAACTAGTTGTTGCTACTTTACTTCTGACAATAGAGGATCTCCATGGACCATTGTAGGCATCCTTCAACTTCACTACAACAATCTCTGCAGTAATTTCGAACATGCTCACTAGTTTTAGAGAAGTTGGCAGTTTAGCTGTTTTCAGAAAATATTGATCGGTGGCTAGCTTTATGTCACAAAACTTTGAGGGGTACATTTTGACTAATGAAAATTTGAAGGGTTTACTTCGTGCTGACAATATCACTTTATCCTATTCTTCAGGTGTCTCTACTCTTTCCAAATGACGTTTCTTTTTTCGATCAGTGCGAAGTTCTGGTCGTTTGGGAGATAGGAATGGCCCCGAACCGGAAATAGGTACTTAATTGTGTCAAAAAGTTTAAGTACATGGACAAGAATAAATAAAAAGTGCAACATAACATAATTCCTGTTTTGCCCAGGACCTCCATCATTTATTAGTACAAGATTCCTGGGCGTAAAGCTATTATTGTTAATAAAATGTAACAACATGGAACACACATCGTTGGCACCTTTTTTCACTTGTCCTTTAGTGTATTTATAAATAAATGCCTCATCTGTACCAAGATTGTGTATACCGAATACGTGGTACCACAACTGATGTGAATAAAAAACTGGATTTCCAAAAAATACATCAGCCTTTCTTAAATAAATCTCCTTTTCCATTGTTATTTGGACTTTTTTCTGCATCGTTGATTCCTTTGGAAGTAAGTTTTTGTTGGAACGAATCACACTGAGCACATGTATCGGATCGTGGGAAGCCAAACTTTATATTAAAGTTGGATGTGAATATTTTCCAGTAGATTTTATAAGGGATATTGATCAGGTAGGTATTCAGATCGAAACATGGAATGCATGTCTTTTATGGTTAAACCTCCCGGCAGGTAAACACGAAGTGGGTTTTTGCGTCGTGAGTAATGGGATTGCCTTGGTTTAAAAAACTTAATATGTTCCTTTATTTAATGAATTACGGTATCTGAATAATCAGTTGACATTTTCTTATCTTTTCCTCTTAAATCCCTTGGCGCCATACCTCGTGTGACGGTTTTCTACTAGTCTTCCTCTATGATTAATATGCTTCTCGCCTTTTACTTTGACTATTTTTATTAAACTGGCCTTCGGGGTTTTTTTAACTTTATGCTCAGGCTTCTGCTGTACTCCACTACCACTTGCTACTGCATTCTCCATATTCATAAGGTATAGTACAAAACTGAAGAAACTACTTAAAATATAACACGAGACTAACAACACATCCGTTCCGTAATAAGACAACAACGCTAATAAAATTGACAAGTCTCTGCTTGTCTACACCGGGAGAACAGACCGATGAGAATGAGAATTCGCCGGCAATGCGTGCCGAAGTCGTTCGGTACTTACCAGTGGGCTGTTCTCTCGGCGTAGTTACTTTTAAAAATAACATTAGTACATGGACCTATGTGGTTTAAAAAAAAACGAATAGGACATATGTCGTTTTTACAGAAATACCAATATTTTAGTGCCACATATCGGGGGATATGTGATGTTTTTGGGAGAAACAAATCTTTGGGGTGATAGAGTTCAGTGTCTTACATGATGACGCCACAATCGCGTTTTCGTAAATTTTGGACATGTTGTTTCTAGAATAAATGCCTCAATTGTATAACTTGCATTGTATTATTCTGTTTAAAAACGAGCTAAGTAAACTAATGCCTCTTAAAATTAAACATGTCTATTTTGCTTTTAGAGTAAGAATTCAATTAAATAACTTTAACTTACTTAACCCTGAAAGAATTCGGACAATATTTACAAAAAATATGTAGTGCTATGAATGTAATGTTTTACAAAATGACTGGTTTTTGAACAGTATTTTTCTATTTATTGAGGAGTGAATAAGATATTTAGCACAGTAGTGGATAAGCGAAGTATATTTTGAATTTTTTGAGGACATGAGAATGGAATTTGAGATTAGATTAAATATAGAAAATAATTAAAAAAGTAAAAATCGCCAAATTAGTGAAGAGTTGCGAACTTTGTATGCCTTTCTTAGCTGATACGAACACACCTGTATCTTAGGTGCTTACAGTATTCTTTTAAGATGTACAAAGATGTCTGTGATATAACTATTACGTTCAAATACATACGGAAAAAACGATACACCAATATACAAGACAAACAATAGACAAACTGTCAATAAAGAAGTAGTGGAAAATTGCAACTAACAACCACCCATTCAGAAGTCGAAGAATTCAACGACGATATCTCAATAGCCCTAAATGACGTACCCACACAATACGTGATAATATGTGGTGATTTCAATGCGAAAATCGGAATCAAAGCGTGTCCAGAAGAAACATCACTTGGACAATTTGGACCAAATGGAAGGAATGAAAGAGAAGACACCTTAATTGGTTTTCTCCTTCAGAATAATCTAGTCCAAATGAATAACTTTTTCTATAAGAAACCACATACAAGATGGACCTGGGCAAGCCCAGATAATAAAACAAAAAACGAAATTGACTTCATAATTTCAATCAAAAAAGAAATCATCCAAGACATAACGGTCCTAAATGCAACGGTCCTAAAAAGTGCAAACACTGGTAGCAACCATATAATGGTAAGAGCAGAAGTTAAAATAAGCACAAAACAAGAGAGACGCAAATTAGTAAATATGAAACCGATACCAATATGGACCCAACCTAGAGATATTAAGGAATATCAAAACGACATCGAAACCAAACTGAGAAACAACACAGACATAACTCTCAACGAAAACATAGAGGTACTAAACAAACATATTATGCAAGCCATTGGAGAAAGCATGAGAAAACACTGTCCCAGAAATAAGAATGAAGAAAAACTTCTTACTGAGTACTGGCACCAAGAATTTAATGAAACAAAGAAATTTTATTACAGAAAGAAATGATCCAAATGGAGAGCAAAAGAGATATAAACAGAGAAGTCAAGAAAGCAATAAGAAAAGACTTAAGAAAGTACAATACACTAAAGATCGAACAACCATAGAAAATAATAAAGGAGTTGAGGAGACTCAACAACAAATAGAGAGGAGCTTTTAACAATAGTAGAAGACTTCTATGGAGAACTTTATAAAAGCAGACGGATGAACCAAACACATGTAAAAGATGCAATAAGCAAAACAATATTAAATCAAGGCTCTGAACTCATGTCAGAAATAACTCTCAGTGAAATTGGACAAGTGATGAATAAAATGAAATCCAATAAATCACCAGGAGACGATGGAATTGTGATCGAGGCTCTTTAATCTATGTTTGACAAAGAAATCCATACCATCTGAATGGAATTCTTCCAAATCCAAAACAATTCTTCTGTACAAAAAAGGAGAAAAAACTGATCTGGAAAATTACCGATCAATCAGTCTGTTAAACCACCTTTATAAACTTTTCACGAGAGTAATCACCACAAGATTAGACAAAAAATTAGATCTATATCAAAGTAGAGAACAAGCTGGATTCAGAGCAAACTTTGGTCCAATGATCACCTCCAAACAATAAAACAACTCATCGAAAAATCTATAGAATATACCAATCCCTTAGTTTTAACATTCGTAGATTTCCACAAAGCATTCGACTCAGTAGAACTCGACAGTGTTATAGAAGCACTAAACGAGAGCCGCACTGATAGCCGATATTCGAGGCCAATATGTAATATATATATATATATATATATATATATATATATATATATATATATATATATATAAAAATGCGACAAGCTCGATACAACTACACGCTAACAGCAACCGAATAAAAATCCAAAGAGGTATCCGACAACGTGATACGTTGTCACCTAAACTTTTCATATCGGCTCTAGAAAAAGCGATCGAAACCCTCGAATGGGGTAACAAAGGAATAAATGTGGACTTAGAGATGCTACACCATCTAAGCTACGATATAGTCCTGATTGCAGACGATTTGGGACAAACAAAGAAAATGTTGGAAGAACTTAGTACAGTCTGTCATAAAATAAGTTTAAAAATGAATATAACAAAAACAAAATATATGACGAACTTAGTACCAAGTAAACACCTTGAAATACAAAATGATGAAGAAGAACTGGTAGACAAATTATATAGATCTGGGTCACGAAATTAAGATAAGTAAGGACAATCAAACAACCGAAGTATCCAGAAGAATTAATACCAGGATGGGCAGCATACGGAGCTCTTAGGAACGTTTTTAAGAGTGACATCCCAACTAATACGAAGAAAAAAGATTTCGACCAATGCGTGCTACCGGTGATGACCTATGGTGCAGAAACATTATCGCTCACAAAGAAAAACGCACAAAAACTAAAAGTAGCGCAGAGAAGAATGGAGCGATCAATGATAGGAGCCACTCTGTGAGACAGGATTAGAAACGAAGATCTACGAGCTAAGACCAAAGTCATAGACGTCATTGAAAGAAGCTGTAACTTAAAATGGAAATGGGCTGGACACGTTGTCAGAATGAAGGACGGAAGATGGACTTGCAAACTAGTTGAATGGAGACCAAGAGCCGATAAACGTAGCAGAGGAAGACCACTGAAAAAAAACTGGATACATACAGCAAGCACAAGATAGAACACTTTGGAGACAAAGAGGGGAGGCTCCAGCAGTGGATTGAGAGAGGCTGATGATGATGAGTGGAAAGCCGCATACGTATTTTACAATCTCCAATACATTGGACATACATAGTTTGATATTTT